ATATTTTATTGATTACTTGAAAATCGTTCAAATATTAGTTACAATCACAAACTATCGTGCTACTTGACTAAAACGTGCTCCATCTGTATGTAAAGTAGCAGTCTGTATTTGGCGAAGCTTATCGAAGATTAGTTGATCTGTGACAATACTGATTTCAATCTGACCACTCAGAGAAAGAATATGATTTATTAGCGGTGTGGATGTAGGTTTTATGTTTATTCTACACCCACACATGTATAAGAACGCACATCTAATCGACGATGGTATAAAAATGAATATTAGAAGTTAGCAATATTTACCGGAGAAAAATGAAAATGAAATAATAGATTATATTTCTGATCATAGTTTGTGTCAAAATGGTATAGTATTGGAAGGAAGCCTGTTTTTATGTCTATCACACAAGTGATACTTTAAGCCGGATTCATTTAAAAGTAGAAAACACATAGGTTAATGCTTGGATAAATAAAAATTTGATCTGCCTCTTTTTACTTGTAATATATTCATTCTATTCTCTTGTAATGCACTCAATATTCAATATATTTTATTCACACTCTCAGAGAGAGTTCTTTTTGATTTTAATTCTTTAATAGTACAAGTAACAATAAACGGCAGATATAGTTACAGTACTCTCAAAAATAAAGACACGCGGAAAGGGTGTGGGCGTGAGGATGTGTTTATTGTCTCTGAACCCATAACCACACCCTTTCGTGCAAATAAATATTCAGTTGTTCGTGCAGTGCTGATTGTATTTCAAAATGGTCGTAGGAGCAAATCTCGAAGCGTACCCTCAATATACGACTGTTCTGATACCATCGTCGTCTGGTGAACACGAGCAGCTAGAATCTGGCTACAATTCTTCGATGTCTACATCAAACCCAGAGAGTCTTCCAAAGATCAAACGATCAACAACTGGGTAACAATCTAAGCATGTCGAAACACAATCAATCTCAGCACATCACCAAGTACAACAGCCAGTGGATCCAATCGTTAGATATCGTAGTCAAAACGCAACATATTCCTTAATATCAGTGGATATGATGATATCAAAACAATTTAAAACAATTGAAACGGTAAGTGATGAATTTTTTGAGACCAGAATCGAATCCAATACTAAATTTAATGTGAAATGGAAAACGAACTTTTCAATATGTTTTTTTAGCATACTTCAATTAATCACAGCCGTTGTTTACGCACTCCATCCGAATATCAAGAAGAGAGTACAGATTATTCTGATGATTGGGAAACTGATTATTCAGACGATTCTACGTCAGATAGTAAAAATAGTTGGAAGCCCATCCCGAAGAAAGCCTCTGAATTTGTAAATGTATCGACACAAAAAGAATGTCGAATTGAAGGCACTACAAATAAGAAAGAAGACCCAATATACAAAAATCTATCCACACAGAAAGATTCTAAAGTTAATTTAAAAACGAATTCGTCGAGTGATACTTTAAGTTTAATACCATTGGATCCAAACGCATTTGAACCTGCATTCTGTGGACAACGTCAGGCAGCCATTGATAATATGGATTATCGAAGAGCAGTGAAGAGTTGGAAAGCGAAAAATGCTCATCATATAATCAAGCTCATACTCGAGTTATCATCTGGCAAGAGTGTTATCGATCGAGCCTGGATTGTATTCTATTGGGTTTCGCAGACTATTGAATATGATACCGACGCATACTTCAGTGGTAATATTCGCCATCGAAGCACAGATGCTCTATTTAGAAGTGGAAAAGGAGTTTGCGATGCCTTTGGTACAATTTTCGAGACTCTTTGCAATGGAGTCGGATTAGAATGCAAGAAAATCAGTGGATACGCCAAAGGATACAGTTTCAAATTAAAAACATCAGCTTTCCATCGGACGAATCATGCTTGGAATGCTGTTCGTCTTGATGGTTGCTGGTATCTGGTTGACTCGACGTGGGGTGAGGGACATATAGATAATAGAAAACAAAATGTCAGAAAACTACGCTCATATTATTTTTCTGTACGTCCAGAGCAGCTGATCTGTACACATTTGCCTGAAAATCCACAGTGGCAATTATTGAAATCACCTATCTACCAACGACAAAACGACTGCAAATCGTATTTTTTGGTGTAA